CCGCACCCGCCCCGGGCGTGTCCCCACTGGCCCGGGAACCCCGACGCTGTTTATCAATGCGCCCTAGAGCCGCGATTGGTGCGCTCCAGCTAATGCAGCTGAGTCAGAAGAGAAGAGCTTGCTGGAAAGGGGTTTTTTGTATCTCTTGGGGTATTTGTTCTGTCTTCTCCACTGTGTGCCTCTGAGCAGGAGCTGGGGTTTCCAATTACCCTTCTCATTCTGGCCGAGCTTGGCTCTTTATCACCAGCTTCCCCTTTTTGTGTGGGTCCCTTGGTTGCTCTGTGTCACTGTGTATGGTTCTTGCCGAGCGCAGTAATATGTGGCGGTGTCTGCAGCTGTCAGCGAGCGGAGCTGCAGCGAGAAAGCATTCCTGGAAGTGTCTGCAGAGATGGAGATCCGGCCCTGGAAAGACTGGGCATAGGCTGTGCCCCCGCTGCTGTATAGGTACATCTACCCCATCCACTCCAACTTTTTCCCGGGTGGCTGCCGTACCCAGACCCACTCTTTACCGCTAGCGATGGAATAACCAGAGACAGCGCATGTCAGGGTGAGGGTCTCTCCGGGCTTTACTTGCCCTGGGCCAGACTGGACCAGCCTCACCTGAGCGAGGACACCTGGGGACAGGGAAACCGCCAAGAATTAATTAAGTACTGAAAAAACACAAGGGTCTGTCCCTAATTCCCAAGAGCCCACAGACACTCACAGGGGAGGGCGGAGAGCAGGAATAGGAAAAGCTGCAGAGATTTCATTCTTGTTCAATGCAAAGAAACAGCGGGCAGGGCCGGGCAGGTCTGTGTCTGGGCAGAGACAGGCGGTTCCTAGAACCAGGGGCTGGTATTTAACGAGGAACTGCTGAGGCAGAGATTTGCATGCGGGCTCCCCAGGCCGGATATAAGGGGCGAGGGAGGGGAGGGCCCCTCGGTACACTGTGATGTCCCCTCGCGGACCTGTCTCCCCTTCAAGAAACACTGCCTCAGGCGGGGGCTGGGAGGGGCCGTGCACTGGGCTCCAAGAGACTGCGGGACCGGGATTTTGCATACGGGTGTCATTGACTTAGCGGAGATAAACCGCTGTGCATGGGACGCGCTCTGGTGGATCGTAGGCAAATAACCCCCCTCCCGTGGAACCGATGGGTGTCTTTCCCTTGGCCCACGGGCGGCTCTAAAATGTGTCGGCGTCTGCCAGAGACACAGACAATGCCCGGGAAGTGCCCAGAGACGGGAGTCTCCCCCGCAAGGCTGAACTCGAACTACTGGAGGGATGGCCCGGATTCTGGGGCTGAACATTAGCTCGTAGCCCGCCCCCTGCCGGTAGTGTCGCTCCCCCACAGAAGCTGGTGCTCCCCCGCCTGGCCCGTGCGCGCTGTTGGACCCGAGAAAGGCGGGACCGGGCTCAGGGCACAGAACATGGAGAGCTTAAATTGTTGTTTGTGATTTAGAGGTATATGCAGTGAGCATGTCCCCTGTCTCCCATTTAAAAAAAAACAGGAAAAGCATGGAGTATGGAGGTCTGGTTTTGCAGGGCTGTATTTTCTTTTGTTTTTTTAAAGTGTGTTTTCTTGCAAAATATTTTGTTTTGGATGTTTAAAATGCTGCATTTGTTATTCTGTGCAAAATGTATGTGTGGAATTGTTTCCACGCTTCTGCATGGGGAAACATTTTTGGTATTAAAAATGTCTGCTCTTTGAAGAAACTCTAATGGCTGAAATTAAACAGCACTTATTAGGGTGGTGGTTGTATTACAGCCTGAAATGGATTTTGTGAAACAAGCAGTTTCCTCTCCCCACACCATCACCAAAAAAAGCTCACTACCCTCTTCAGCAACAACATGGTTTGATTATTTGTTTGGCTGTTTAACTGCTTTTCTTTAAGCAAATGGCCCCTCACTGGCTCTGGCTCCGGGTGGTGACTAGAGCCCTCTGGGATTCATGGGGCCACTCCTCTAGGTCATTCCCCATCAGCACTTCCGTGGGCAAGTGCAGGTGGACCCCCACTTCCTTGAGACCTTCCTTGGCCCTCCATTTCAGATGCACCCTGGCTACAGGTACCTTAAACGGGGACCCATCTATGCCCTTCAGGGTCAGCTGAGTGTGGGGTAGTACCTGGTCTGGGGTCACTATGTCGGATCGGGCCAGCGTCACCTCCGCCCCCGTGTCCCAGAAACTCGTCACCTTCCTACCATCCACCTCCATGGGTATGAAACAGTCGCTCCGCAGAGGTCGCCCTGCCCCCACGCCCATCTCTCTACACAGCTTCACCAGCTCTGCCTTCAAGAGTCGGGCATAGGCCATCTGCCCTCTGGTCCCCTCAGTGCAGACTCACCAGTCTAATGCTTGCTTCTATTTGTGCCTTGTCGCTCGATGCTGGAAGCTCCATCCACGGGGTGCAGTGCATCCCACTTCTGACACCGGTGTGACGGCACGTCAGGTTTTTCCCGTCTCCTGTACCCCCATAATGGCACGGACAGACTCCACCAGCCAGTAGAATAGAGGAAGTTTATTGCTTCTCCAGGATACAGCACAGCACAGATGTAATCTGGGTACAGGGCAGGCCTAGGATGCCTCAGTCCACCTTGAGATGGGGGAGACTGGGCCCCTAAATTCTAGCCCCTTTCCCTAGACTGTCTCCTCCATGCTCCCAGACAGAAACTAACTCCCTCACTTCCAGCCCTGGCCCCAGCCAGGCCTCCACTCCCCTTCTTCCCATTGTTCCGTTCCCTGGGAGATAGCTGGTCAGACAGGTTTGGAGCCCCCTTGCATAATCACTCAGGCTGTGTCTACACTGGCATGAATTTCCGGAACTGCTTAAAACGGAATACTATTCCGTTTTCAGTTTTTCCGGAAAAGGAGCGTCTACATTGGCAGGCTGCTTTTCCGGAAAAGCCCTTTTTCCAGAAAAGCGTCTGTGGCCAATATAGACACCAAACCAAGTTATTCCCTCAAACCCTTCATTTTATGTAAGTGTTTCTGTTATGGTCAAAAGGCCTTTACAATATATATTTTATTTGAAGATATAGTTTTTTAATATATTTGATCTCACGATTGTCCTCTCACCATTCTCTAATGTAATCCTTTTACATTTCATACAGATATTCTTTTTTTTTCTAAGTAGAATTCAATATAATGCATTAAATGGATATCTTCAATTTGATAGCGTTGGTTAAAATACTGTCAAAGTCTGGAGCACTTTGCACAGCATTTACCAAAGTCACACTTGAGCTAAATATTTTTGGGTTAAACACAGACATTGAATTGCATCATCTACAGCAGTAGTCAGATTTAATAAGATTTGCAGGAACAGGCCAGCACACAGGACCCAGAGCTTCCAGTTTATATTCTTTGAAGTCAATATACACAGTCAAGATGCCACGGGCTTCATGCACATATAACACAGCCCTCACCATCTGCAGAGTTTCTCCATTAGACAATGATTAAGAACCACAAAAACATGTACAATAGATCACAGCTCTTTCACATTCTTGATGTGGCAGAGTCTCAGTTAGCTCTATGACAAAGGCCTTCCGAAAATCCATATAGCCATTGTCCTCTTCATGTTCAGTGTCCTCTTAAACAATTATTCTTGGTGTTGGACCTGTTTCATATTTACTCTTGGATATGGACAGTCGGTGAACCTAGAGCTGGGAGAGGCAACCCTCCAGCCCTGCTTCTTCTACCCAAAGCCCTTTCCCCAGTGGCAGGAAGCCCCACCACCACCACCATCACAGGAGTAGATGTGACTTAGTGGGTGTGCTGTACACTCTTGTGGCCCTGGATCCACTCTGGTTTGGCCTTCACTGGTTGCTGTGTTGTGCTGTGTGTAACCCCTACTGGCTTATGCTGGTCTGCAGAGACCGTGTGTGTGTGTGTGTGTGTGCGCGCGTGCGTGCGCAGTAAGTCTTCAGCTTCCCTCCCTCAAGCCATTCCCCACAGCAGCAGCAGATTC